CGACTAAAAATCTGGACATCCTTGTGCTCTTGAAAATTAAGAAGGAATTAAGAAGCTGAAAGTAATAGACATAATGTATCATTATATTATCTAAATTTGAACCAAAAGTTAGAAACATAATTCATTTAAATACATTCACTGATCAAAGCTATTAAAAGTATCTCACACACAAGTTTTAAATACTCTAATTTAAATTAAAATCCTAAAAGGACAATTCTTGAATATTATATTTGATAAATTTATGTCATACCTGAAGCATGATTACATTCAATTCTAATACAAAAATTTCTAAAAGAAAATGAAGCCAATAAAGAAGATGTTCCTTTTAAGAGGCGTATTCTTTTTAGAATATATAAACATATGTAATTATTAAACTCTAGAAGAGGTTTAGGTATTTAAAATATTGAAAGTGGAGATATCTCAAAAGGTTATGTCATTATGGGAATGACATAGAATCGGGAAAAAAAAAAAGAAAAAAGAAGAAGAAAATAGTCGACAACACTTTTGAACATAATATACTACTTCATATTACGAAAAGTGAGTATGTTGATATATATTCATCAAAGCATATCAATAGAAGAAATAATTGGCCAAATAAAAAGACACAATTCGTAAAATTAAATTTACTGGAGAAACATAAAGTTTCTGGACCTACAATCTAAAGAGCTAAAGGCGCGAAATGAAAATAAGAAAGATAAAGTCATATTATGTAATGCACAACTTTTAACATAATGAATTTCACAAGGATTTGTATAAGCATAGATCCGGAGATTCCCAAATATAGATTTTGTCTCTCAGTGTCAATGTCGGCCCATCAGAGTGCTTTCGCCGTTGGTGTTCTATGCGTGGATGCAATCACAAGCATCTATCTTGTTAGCCTGAAAATGCATGAAATTTTATATGCATATAATATATGTAATTATAACTAACTTTTCTTGTATGATTTTAATACTATCCTTGAAGGATTATATGCTAGAAGAATATAATTCAAGTGATATTATTACGAGGGAATGAATACCGTTTTACTCCTTTTTCTTGGCTAAGATTTTGTTCCATTGAATTTTTCTAACAAGATTTTTAATAAATAACTTTCGTACTCAAAAGAAAATGTACTACTTTTTTCTTCATTAGGATTTTTTTCACTGAGTTTTTCCTAATAAGATTTTAACGAGGTATATTATTTGTGTAATGATATATATATGTATATAACTTACAAGATATTTATCCTCAAAATAATAATCTTATATATTACAAATTGTGTATGATTCTCGTAGGAAGCAACAATACAATCTATTTTTCAACATATTATTACGTGAAAAAAGACAAACAAAGATTGATAAATATCATCTATATAGACGATGTTGTATGAATGCTATAACAAGACTATATGAAACATACTTCACCAGAATTGCAATATTGAAGGCATCAACGTACAAGACATAGATGATTCAATATAAGAATTTTCATTTATTGAAATCAAGGGAGTAGCTGTACTATTTTTTCTTAGTTCAAGTTTTGTCCTATTGGATCTTTTACAAGGTTTTAATGAGGCATATATTCTGTATTGTGTCATCCAAAGGGAGTGTTTTAAATAATATGTTAATTAGTGATGATTACTCTGCCCTTGCACCTCTAGATATTATGATTATTTTATTTCATGTAGCCTCCTAATTCTTTCCTATAAATATGGGATTTGGTTCTCAATGATATACACACAAACCTATTGACTTCTTTATTTTCTCCTCTTTTCTCTCTAGATTATAACAGTTAAAAAGTATCATAACACTTCTGAGTACAACTACTATAAAAGTTCTTAGTAATGTTGTTTTAAGTTCTTGCGTGAAATAGTACATTGTTGTCATTGATAGGCAATCACATCAATAAAACAATTAATCTCTTTACATAAGTTGAATTATGCAAGTATTTATTTATTTATTTTTATTTTTATTTTTTTGAAATCAAAGCGTAATGTCACTTTTTCTTTTAAAGAGGGACTAAATTAGGAAATAGTAGAATTAGGATTTAGTTTTAAAATTAATGGAAAGATGCAGCATTTTATACTTCGTTTTCACATGATTTTTTAAAAGGGTTTTATGTTTAGGGTTTATAGTCTAATTTCCTCAGTTTTAATGGATTTAAATGGGATGAATATTTAAAATTCGACCCAGTCTATTTGAATTAATTTTTACACATCTACAATTATTTAATTCGATTCATTAGCACTTTAAAATTTCCTTCGAATAATTTAATTGATTTTTGTTCCTTATAAATGCATAAGGAAGTCCCAAGCTCCTGCTCTCCGAAATCATTCATATATCTCAGATAGTGAAATTTATTAATTATTTTCCTGCTTGACCCCTTAAACATTGAACGCGATTTCTTTTAATGCTTTGTTTTCTATTCAATATAATTGATAGAAACTCAAACTGTAAATAATATTATTTCTTAATTTTGTTTACTTCTTCCTTATTTTTAGTTATTTATCAACTAATTTACCATTAATTGTTTCCTTATTTGAATTCCCGGTACTGGATTTGCCTGTTCTTATCTACAATTCTGTTGCTAATTTTGTTCTTTAATCGATCCTTTTTAACTGATTTGTTCCCTTAACTTGTATTTCTCCCTTTTTTCTTATTACTTCCTCTCATCTCCTCTCCCTTTATATAGTGGCCACAAATTTACAACATTCTCTCTTTGTTTTATTTTCTTCTACGTTTCTCTTTTGTTCTCTAACTGGTTCTTGATCACATTCTTAAATTCTTAAAGCACCCTATTCAGAGCAATATGCCCCTCCTATGATGGGAATTGAGAGCAAAAGTGTGACTAAATCCACCAACTTGTTACGCATACCTACCATTGTTTGTTTATCTTGCTATCAGATTTTCAAGAAAGTAAATAGAGAATTCTTGATTTGAGTAAAAACGTGAACAAGGCGGAGGAGATTCAAGAAAGTAAAGAAAAATAGACGAAGAAGGTGAGACTTCTGTGATGATTTATATGCATACATGTGGTTATAGATTTTTCATCAACATTTTTTCGAGATATAAGTTTATTAGAAATTTACAATAAACCTTTTAAAAAAATAAAATAAAATAAAATAAACAATTTTTGCCTTTTCTTAATGTTAAGTGAAAATTTCTTTGTTCCATATTAAATTATATTTTTACTGATTTAAGATGCCATTGATGTTAATTTCCGTAAAAATCTCCTCACCAACAATTAGGATCAGTTTTTACATTTTTATGTAATTTAAGATTGTATATAATTCAAAATAGATAATTGTATTTTGTGTAATTTAATTATCATTTTTTATACAAATTAATTCCATTTTGGTTATTGCTCCGAATAATTTCCTCAATACTTGAGGAAGTCCGAAGCACCAACTCTCAAAAATCATTTATATATTTTAAATTGTCACAAATTCATTTTAATAATTATCCTTAGACATTCTACATGGTTTCTTTTAATTCTTTGTCTTCTATCAATACAATTGATACCCAGAAATCGAAGAACGTTAGAACTTTGATCACTTGATTTGTTTTGATTTAATTTCATATGCATCATGCTTAAGCAATTAAATTGACAAGATTAATATTATTTATTTCTTTCTTTCTTTATTTGTCAATTCCTTGACATCGAATTCTTTATTGTGTTCTTCGTTTCTCTTTTGTTTCTTGAACTATTTTTTAATCACATTCTAATAGCTTTCTTCTAACATGATCTTTATAGTTTTGAAGATAACATGAGCCCGTAGTTGAATGAAGAAGACTTTTATCGACGATCCATCGTCCAACAATTGTGAGGAAAAATGTGGTAGTAGACTGTTTATTTAACTTTTTTGTGTAGCATCTCTACCAACTTATAATTGTCTTATTTTGATTGGTTGAAATTGTGTGGGACCTCATGACAAATGAAGAGGTCTGTGATTTTGCTCGGGATATCATTTATCTCTTTATTTGTCATGACGTCCCACATCCATTCCTGAAGAAATAAGACAATTATTTAACATTAATTTTGTGAATCATGTATATCTAGAACATTTATTTAAATTTAACATTTTAGTAAAGTACTACATGATGATATAATGTTGAACTAATTGAGCCCTTTCTTTACAAATACAGAATTGGTTATGACTATGAGGGAGGAGAAATTCTGTCAAAATAGAAAAAGTTTGTTTGAATTGTTAGCAAATAGTATGAAAACAATATTGTGATTCCGGGATGATGACATATTAGCCTATTTAAGGATGACGATTGTCGAAAGTTCGTTGTCTACGCATTTACCTAGTGATACTAGCAGGCTAAAATATTAAATTCTACCATACTATAAGCTGATAAGAGATAAATATTTTTTATTTCCTCGCACGGTAACGAAAAATGAGAAGCAATATCCGATATTAGTTGATGATAAGTGATCTACTAATACTTTCGATGTTAAGTGTAGCATTAGAGGCAGTGTTTAGTGCAGGTGGCATGATTTTGCCTTTGAAAGAAGTCTTCTAAATTTATGAATTTTTCGGTACACTAACTTTTATAATTGTTGCTTTACGTTGATGTTTGATTTTCTTTAAAAAACTATGCACGAAATATTTATTCGTACACAATTTTAACTCCGCCTACGTATTGTAGCCGATCCCAAGCCCCGAATGAAGGAAGAGGTTTTTACAATTTATTATTTATTATTTTTACACTTTTTTTTAATAAATTTACGTTTTTATTATACTTCTAGTAGTAAAAGTACTATTATACTTCTAATAATAAAAGTACTATCATTGCAAAAAAAATAAATAAATAAAATAATAATAATAATAATAATAATAATAATAATAATAATAATAATAATAATAATAAATAAATAAATAAATAAATAAATAAAACTTGTGGCTAGCAAGTCAGCTTGGCTTGCCCTACCAAGGAGCGAAGGAAAATGATACTTTTGCTTGATGAATGTCAATTATGTGAATCATGTAGATCTAGAGAAGGAAAATGTACTGTTTCCCATAGCTCTTAATTATTCAAACATTATAATTAGGAAATTTCATTTATATATCATGAAAACTACTAAATTCTCATCATAAAAATGTCCACATCCAAAGTAACCAACCAATGCCAATATGTTACATTTTCAACCAAAACTGTATTGCCCTAAGTTTAGTTCGTTCCCTTCATGTCTCGTCTTCGCCAGGGCAGATGAGGAAGCTGCGCGAAAACCAGTATGGAAACATGTGGGGAAATAGCAACCCAGTTGCTGCAATTTGTACCCCCAATGGAATCACCATCGTTTAGCAAATTTGTGGCAGGGCCTTATTTTGCACTAGCTTTTCGATTCATCAAGTCATGGTAATATAACAGTAAACACATGGGTTGACCTAGTATGCTGAAAAAGCACCAAAATATCATGTTGCCCACCTGGAGAAGGAAAAAAGAAACTCGGTTTTAGATTAAAATGCGATCAAACTATTGGGACGAAATATATGGATGAAGAGCAAGACTTGTTCGAATAAATACTCCAAGAAGTTGAGCAACTATAGATTACTTCAGCGAAATTGTTTCTAATGGAAAACTACTTCCATCATTGAAATGACCAATCTATTCCCTCGAGCCATAAGCATATTTATGCAACTTGAGAACTCAAAGTAGAAAAATAAACTGCTGAAATTGACAAGGACATAATGAAGAACACAAAACGTAGATATGGACAGGAAAAACTTACCATTGAATTTTGAAACTTGTCTTGCAAGTAGTTGGTTAAGATAACAAGAGGAACCTGTTCAATGACGAAATCAGAATTCATAAACCATATTAAATCTCAGAACTAATGTTCAATCATACTAGAAGCTAAATTCTACAGATGCAAGTGAAAACTAACATTACCTGAAACATAATGCCAATGAATGCCCAAAACTTGAATATGTGGCAAGGGACGGCAATACACAACTGTAAACAAATGAAGTTGATTTCATCTAAAACGCCCTTAGGCACTAATGTGAGAGAATAATAAATAAGAAAAGACTTCATACCTCATGAAAAATAGCAGATACAAGGAACGCTATCAAAATAGCACCTCCCTGCATAAAAAAAATAAATAAATAAATGGAAAAGTAGATCAATTTGGTTGCCAGAAGAGAGTATGCATTGTAAACAGAAGTCATTAGAGGCAAATTGACCAAAGGATAGTTTAGGCTGAAAGCTAAGGTCTGAGTACAGCTGTTGATTAATTTAAAACTATGAAAGCAGTTTTTTGCAAAAGTTTAAGCTCAAAGTATCATCATCGTGACAGGTTTTCTCAGGATTTGCTCCAAATCCTTATTTCAAAAGTATATGCTCTTTCAAAAAAAATAAAAATTGCAAAGAGCAATCTCTTGGATCATAAAGTGACAATTACCCATTTTGGGTCACATTTGAATTGATAGATGTGATCCCCTTTAGGTTTAGATTGTTTAGGGATTTAATAATAAACCGATCTAATATCTTATGTTTGATTATACAATAAAAATTCATTGTTCAGTCACTAAGTTCAAAACTAATTTACCATGTGAAATCACACTAGAATCGATTACTCATGTAATTGTAATCGGTTCGTACAATCCAAACCCTAATTATAATGTGTCAAAATTATTACAATCACAAAAATAAATAAATAAATAAATAAAAATAACAGTTTAGGAAGCAGAAGAAAATTATTTAACTAACAAACAGCTTAAGGTTTCAAAGAGTGAGTAAATTACCCTTGGCATCCCATTCCTTAAGCATGGAAAATATATATGTCGGACCATCCACTTGTGTACAGGCTGTAATCAATGAACTTTCAAGTCAGCAATGGTCCAATTGAAGATGAAAGAATGACAATTTAGAAAGAATAAAGAGCTAAACAATCGTAGCCTGCTCAGGAAATTTTCATCTGACAGATGCTTATAAGAATGAGGACTAATTACCCTATTAATACAGTCTGCACGATACTACCCACTCACCCCACCCAGGACTCCCATGCTCTTCCAAGAAATAATACTCGTCCATTTTCAATTGATTTGTATACGTACTTCTCAAGAGGGAGAGAGAGTGCCATTTAATTATCCCACCCTTTGATTTCCACCCACCATCTGTTCTTTCATGCCACCTAATACATGTCAGAGATTTGATGAATAATTGGAAACCTAATCCTTTCTACGAGTTACAGAATGGCTCAAGCAGTAGATCAGTATATATCCCTCACCACACCTCAGAACTTGGTTCCCATAAATCCATTGAACACTTGAAAAGGTCAAAAGGTTATCTTCACAAGCATTTTTCATTCACCATGTGGAAAAGACTAGAATGAATTCAAATAACATCCTTGCACAAGTTAATAGATAAAAATCAGATTATGGCTGTGTTAATAGCTGTTGAAGAAAGTAGTTCAATAATCAGAACAAACGACAAAAGTTATTTTTATATCATATTAATGCTTATATCTTACGGGCAATTAGAGATCACAAGCAGAATACATTCAATGCTTGTGAATAAAGTAGCTTAATAATCAAGTCAAAACAGAGAATTAGAAATATTTCTGCATTATGTCAAAGTTAACACTTGCGCTTTATGAATCCGCAAAATATTTACATATTCATTACAGCACCGAAAGAAAATGAAATGCAGCTTTTTTTCTTCATAATGTAACAAAGGAAGAAAAAATTCTTGCAACCAATCATTTTCAGAAAAACTTGGTTGATTAACTTACCATATTCCACATCCTCCAATACTGATGACAGCAGCCAACAGTTGGACAATCATATATAAAATGAAAGAATAGCATCACTAATTAGACACAAAATAAATGGCATGTAAAAAAGTGAGGAAAATATCTTATCAATGCATACAAGTCTACCTCCTCAACTGTTTTCGCATTCCACCAATCTTTGTAGAACTCACGATCACCAAAGCAGAGAAGTTCCGCTAATATATTCAGCCTATATCATAGCACTGTGTAAGTAAGATCAGAGTAATGTGATTGACAGATAAAAAGAAAGCCAACAACATGGACCATGGTTCTTATTTCACAAGAGCCTACAAAAATCAGAATATACTTATTCCGAAGGGAAGAACGGAAAAACTTTATAAGAAAAAATTGAGTGCATTGGGCATTTTAGTAACAGTTATTTGCCCAAATCAAGGTAACAATATGAGCTACTTTCCTTATATTACATAATACATACAGTTATTGAACAAAACACGGATAGATCTGCAACCCAACCCAAGTTAACACCTCTTCTTGGGGATCGAGTTGCTTGGCATAGCAGTACCATTGCTAATTACAGCAGAACAAATCAATTTCGAATATCCATTTGTACTTGTAATTTTAAAAACTGATCATGGTAAGTAGAATTTATAAATTATATTAGAATAATGATAACAGTAACTGTCCAATGAATAGGTAAAGGCTGTGAAGCAATTTTTTTCAATTGAAGAATGATTCCTCTCTTAGCTATTAAGCATTCATCAGAAATGTTGGCCACGGCTTTCAATGAAACTCTGCCAAAAGAACAAAAGTAATCTTCCATTTGGAGTACCTATTTATCTTTCATCTTTGCTTTTGCTTGCAGTCTAGCAACACAGTAATCTCGGCTTCTTATTTTATCTTCTAAATAACCTTTAATCTGAATTCTTCCATTTTCTGAGCTCTGAGTTCCTCTGGCAAATCAAGATGTGTCCTTTTCTAGAACAGTTTCATTTTCTGGTACAACCCCTTTGGTAATGATTGGCTATTTTTGTACCATTTGACGTTTACTTGACCATTTTCACCTTTTGGTTTAAGTTATATGTTAGATATTTTAGTGCTGGCATTTAATTTTACTATGTAGTCATGATTTCTTTTAAACTATTTGTATTTTAAATATATTTTAACTGGTATTGTCTAATACTTTTCCCATCCCATTCTTTTCAAGAATAATCATGTCTAGTCACCATGTAGCAATTGTTCAGTACAACATAGCAGCACAATGAATTCTTGGACATCCACAACAGGCAACAATCTGGTTCCCAAATTACTGCAAAGTTTGTTTGGTATTACCTAAAATGCAATTCCATAAGTATAAATAACTTCATACCAACAAATATTGTGGCACATTAATGAACAATCTTGGAAAGCAAGACAGGCAAAGAGGCATATGCATGTATACCATTATATGTTTCCAAATTTGAAATAGGTGTCAGGTGTTCAAAACGAAAACAAGCAAGTTTCATTAGGCAAATCAAAAAATGATAATAAGGGGAAATAACCCAACATTGAGGAAGAATGAACATACCAAAGATGGAAAAAACAATAAAACATGCAGAGCCACACATATAAATTTGGAACTGAAAGCTTCAAGACTCTTTCTATGGCATACAAAAGGTTTCCTTTCAAAGGATGTTGAGAATTTCGCACAATTGGATTTATGTACTGCACAATGAAATAAGATATATCAGTAGAGTTCACATTCAAATAAAGAAAAACATTTTGGGATTTGATTTTGTAAGAAAGAGGAGATCACCTGTTCTACGATAAATCCCATGAATCCTGTAAATATTATTAACTTAATGAGTTGACGTACCACCCAACCCTTCCGAATGCTCGCTGTACGGGGATAGCTAGGCTACAAATTTCAATTCTTAAGTGATAAGAGAAAATAGTCAACGTGACAGAATAAAGAAAGCGGAGCAGAATTAATGAGTCCAACTATAATACCCTCTACATCAATCACATGATCAAAAACAGACCAAAAATAGCAAGTAATGCAGGCACAAGGCTACCAAGAAGGATTTACTTCTCAATCCAGAGAATAATGTACAAGAAACATGCTTTAGACAATTCCATCATAACAATTGCAGTCTCACCAGTTATACGCAGTAGGTATGAGCAAGGTCTGGTTCAGTTCTGTTCTATGAAACAGTCAAATTAGTTTATTTCAAGAAAACAACTCAAATCCTTTATAAGAGAGGTCCAGTTCAGTCCTTTTCGGGGTTCAAAGTTTGAAAAATGTGGTGTGGTGTATTATAATTAAATTTACATAACAATTAACATTTTACATTATTTGGAAAGCAATAAAAATAGGGAAGGAAAAATCATTCCAGTTTTGGGGAATTTCAACCATTTCAAGAATGCACATTGATTGATGGACAACACATATATTCAATTAAGGGTCCATATGTAACTCGGTATAAAGAGCTATTTATGAAGTATCTAGAGAAGCTGTACAAGTTCACAAATTTTTATAAAATTTTGATATTGATAAATAAATTGTTCATCCATACATACCTGGTAACACAATGTGGGAGCAACCATGAAGTATGCCAAACTCTGGAAGCTAGCACCGTAAGAGTCATCCGAGTTCCAATAACCAGACAATGTTTCACCCTGGTCTCAAAAGAGAGTTTTATATAAGAAACTACAATGATCTGAATTGAATTGATTAAGAAGGAAATGCTCGAGAACAGTTATTCACTAATTAGTATGTGTGCGCGCATCTATTAGAGATAAAAATAGAGATGCATAAATGGATTGTAGTTATTAATATATGAGGGCGGGTAACAAAATTGCATATATATGTCATAATTCTTTTCAATAAATAACAGCTTAAGTTACAGAACCTGGCAAGCATCTCAACAAAAACAATGGAAATGGACAAATTTAGCTTCTCGTCATCCTTTTCAATTCATTTGAACACAAAAGTATTGACCAAGAAATGAACACACAGAGTACCAGTGAAGACGACAAAAACCATCAAAGAAATATAGCTTTACTACCAAATGCTCCTTTATCTTCCTTTGCCTTGATCAGCCAAAAATAAAAAGGAGCAAAAGTAAAAATATTATCTTAAGAGACTATGGTTTTCTCGTTACCTTATCAAGTGATTTGGCTAGTGCCCTCATATCGTGACTTGCATGAACATAAGATACCAACTTCAACCACACAATGCAAGCAAAGAGCATTAATGTGACGCCAGACAGAACAGCAGAATCACACCTGTGCAATCCCAAACCAGTGAATATCATTTCGTAATTGAAACTACACATTGCTTAAAATAATAAAATCTACCCATATTTTTCATGATTTGCTCAAGGATTCCTACCTATTATGAGCTTCTAATAATATCATCCCCATGAGAATCTTATTTCTACAAAACTATTGCACTAAAGAGACCAGCAAACCAAACTAAAGTATTAAATTCCCTTCATTGTGAAGAGATGATGTTCTGTACACCTTTTTGGTTAAAAATTGTGGACATCTCTTACACACAGGAAACTTTCAGCACCCAACTTCATAAATGCTGGCTTATGTGGCATGATTTTCAATACGATCTGCAGTTGTTTACAAATACCTTTTGGGTGTTTACAAAAGACTTAATAATCAAATGCAGTCATATTGATTGCTATAAATAACAGCATACTATTAATGAAGCCAAAAGAACAAAGTATGAATTCAGTGCTCCATCGAATCTCACATTGCCTCTTGGTCCTAAGCATTAAGTTCAAGAAATGACCTTTATGCTGGATACCTCGACACTGTTATACATTCCAATTATACCATCCACTTTTCATCTTATATTTGCAATGAGTTTAATATGTAGACATCATATATTTGCAAACTATTATTGATATGTTTCAATTGAAATTTTGGAATCTAAATACAGAAGTGTCTCACTATCAAGGGTAAAATTCTTCATCAGACAAAAATAAATAAGTAGATAAAATATTTGTAATGAACAGCTTACAAGATATACAGATTTAAAGAAGTCCAAGACAAACCTAAGAATAACCAAAACCGGATACAAGATAGCAGCTGTTGTTATTAAAATGTGAAGAAAGACAGCAACCTGCAATTTTAAATTGAATTTGAATTTATTCCCACAGAGCAATAAGTAACAACTGATCATAAGAAAGAGCTCAACATTCACAGTTTTCGAAAAACCAAGTTGCATGACAACCGGATAATTACTCAATAATGTGAACTGCCATGTATAAACAGCATGACAACCAAAAAAGTAAAGAATCCACAAAATAAATAAATAAAACAAAATAGATAAAAACTCAAAAGCCACAACAAGAGAACAAAAAAGTTATTACTCTTAACAATGGAGAACTTAGCTAAATCAGATGGATTATAAATCTGCACTTTTTCAAAATTCCATCAAGTATTTTAATTGAAATTATCTAAGTTAATCAAAATCTAACCACAACACAATTACAATCTGCCTTCTCAGCGAACTCGTAGCCTTACAAATTCCCAGCTGGTAGATTTGAAGATTAAATATGACTCTGATGCTCAGACTCTTAGAAATAGTCGGAGTACCCATGTCAGACACGACACAACGTGGGTATGGGACATGTGTCAAATCCTCCAAATTTGAATCAAACACTTCTTCGTTTTTGCTTCTTCTTTCTACTTATTTCTTTTACTTTCCATTTTCATCTTTTCCCTTTTTCGCTCTCTACAAACCTGGCATCACCCCGAGAGGGTGGAGAAGGCAAATGGTGCTAGGTTTTCCCTTCTTTTTCTTCTTCTTTCTTTTTTCTTTCCATTTGCTTCTTTTTTCCTTCTTTTTCCCTTCTTTTTCTCTATCTATAACGGTAGTTTAGGGTTTTATGTGAATAAAATGAAAATGGATTCCACGTAATACTACTTAGTGCTTCACTAAGTCCAAATTGCAAAACATTTAGAAATTTTCATAATTGAAAACTAAATCCCAAAATTCTATTTTATTTGTTTTAACCCCTAATTCAATACTCATTTCCTTCTTTGCGAATAATTTATTTTGGCATATTCAAAATGACATATTGGATTAGTAAAAAAATTGAATTTCGAAAAACGTATCCACGTACCCGTATTCAAAATTTGGACTCGTTTTAGCCATGTTCATATATCCTATATTTTAAAAAATAAAAGATCCGACACTTAGATACGCACCCGTTCCCGATACCTGTACCCGAGTCCGAATATCATAAAAATTCGACAACTCAACTTTTATAATAACGGACTAACCTTCAATAAAACCCTCTAGATTTAGAATCCACAGAGCTATTATTGAAGAGAGATGCCAATGAAAAATCGCCATGAATAATAGAAAGAGTACAGGGTGTCCAATTCATAACAACTCCATGAACAGACTCCTATGCCAATTTAGAGAGACATATGACAAGAAAATCTAGTAAGCAAAATATAGGTACAGAGCCACACCGCCGTTCAGGTCTAGGTAAAGAGCCTAAAAATTCTTGCCTACACCTAAATGGATTTTTTGCAAGAAATAAATATAAGTTATATAGTGCAGACTGATATAAGGAGTTTGGTTGAGTTAATTCACGGTCATATGCTAACATGCATTAACTTTTGAGAAAGTATTATTGAAAGCAAACCCTGAGTTATGATAGTAGTCAAACACTGTTCAAATCAGGATGAAAAAACTAGTAACTCTTGACTTACACATTCAGATATATACTTGAGTAGCACCAACTTCTCAACAAAAAATGCAGCAAGCGGAAAAATTGGGAGACTCAGGCTGCAAAATAGAACAAGAAGAGTTATCAAAACAAAAGACATCAATGATTAAAAATAAAAATAAAAATAAAAATAATAAAAAATAAAAAAAACCTATTTTTTTCTTACACCCATCGCATACTTAAAAATGGTCAGCACACGTTACCAGCACATTAGAAGTGGCCAATCCTTCAGTGATGTTGAACTAAACCAAAAGCCTGAATTGATCAGCCAGCCATACTGCAACCACATACAAGATTACATCTTAAGCTCAACTGCTCCGACAATAATAACAGGTATGTAAATCTTCCGATAATGATACGCAGTAAACATCAACCACTTCTAACTAATAAAAGATATATAGAGTATTAATGATGATTAGATTAACTATCCACATAAATCAAAGGGTGCAAGGCAATTCCAAAAGACGCACCTTCATCAAATTTTCAATAATAAGTCTGCTATTTACAGCAACAAGCACCACTATACAGAGGTTGAAGAGGCCCGCATGACTCTGCCACAAGACACCAATTAACATTTTGAAGTTCCATGATGACTTCATTCACGGAAATAGTTCAGTAAAGAACTCCACAAAGTTATAATTCACAACAGTATATACAGAATCAAGACCAAAATGAAATGAAATGAAATTGATAACATGGTATCAGATTGTATTATTTAACTTGGTTGTACATTATGTGTCACTATAATTTTACAATTATATGACCGCCATCAGTTCAATATAATTTTTTTTGTGTTTAAAAGATGGTACATGAGTATGGGGCAACAGGCAATATATGTAATCGATATTGGATATATGAAGACAATGGGAAAAGACAGAGCATACCTCCCTCAGCACCAAAGCAAAAATGAGAAACTTCTCATAAGGTTACTTTGTCACCCCATTTACATTTCATGACTTCTCAAGTACACCCCCGCCCCCCAAAAAATTACAAAACAATGCAAATAAAGGTCAACTCTTATTGGATTCGCCAATACAGAAGCCAATAGGAAAAGAAAGTGCGCAGCTCCCTCAGCACAAAAGTAAAAAGGGGAAGTTTCTAATAAAGTTACTTTCTCACCCCTTTTACATTTCATTCTTCTCGATTACACCCCCACGCCAAGAAAATGACAAAACAACACAAAGGAAGGTCAAGTTTTGTATGGGCATACCATAAACACGACAAATCCACTCGAGAAAACTTTATAATTTAAATTACTACTTTTACACAACATCAACCACCCTATAGAATTTTCTTCGTCTTACTATCTTCTGAATGAAATCAATGGGACATCAAATGAGTCAATGAACAATTCAGGACCGTAAGATAGCTTCTGAAATAAACGGTCTCAATAACCCAATGATGATCTTTGCATTCTGAGTTTTAAACAGATATCAACCTAATCCGTAAACAACAAACAAATTAAATGTGCAACAGATGGATGTACTTTTATTTTCGACATGGTGAATTTCGAATGATGGTTTAATATATAATGTTAGCATGTCAGCAAATAAAGACATTTGCTTCACAGTATTAAAATCCACACATGTTCTACCGAAAATGATAAAGAAATTGTCAAAGTGCGTCCATAATAACCTAAATACAAAAAAGACCAAGTGGCAAATTTTTGTTCATACCTAAATAAGTCAAGACAAGTTCATGAGCTAATTAAAATGACACCAGTAACTTAACAACAAAAGAGACGAAAAGGACTTAATTTAAAGTTGGTCACAGAGGAAAAAATGAAAACAAATCTCTATTATTTGGCTACTTTTTGGCTATACGAACTCCGAAAAAGCTAGGAATTCAACAATAAATAGTAAAATTTTGATAAAGCAAAGCAGAGATGGCCAATTATGCGTACGTGTGTGAAATTAGTAAGAAAAACAGTGCAAACCTGTTTGAAGATTGCGTCCGAGCTGAGAGGACTCTCTTTGATTCTCCGGTGAGCCGGTGCCGACGGCCGGTGCGCGAATTTCGCCGACGCCGACACCTCCATTTCTTGATTACTCTCTCCGGTACGAACCTGCTCGTTCTCCTCCTTGCCATTTCTCAAACCTTCAGTACCCAATTCACTCGGCTCTTCCAGCGCCGATTCCACCACTCCTCCACGCAGATTTCCCATCTCATTAGTGTTATTAACATCGCTGTCACTATCATTCACCGCCTCTAAAGAGTTTGAATCTGACTCCAGTACTGCCACGTCACTAGATCTCCGCCGAACAGTACTCGCGGCGCGGCTGTGGTGGGAATTCAACGTCGTCGTTTCTAAACTCTCCGGCAACTCCAGGATCGTCATTTTACATAAACAAAACGGCCCAGAAACAAATATAAAGAAAATTCTAGAAAGATACAGAGCTTTACCAAAATGGGTTACACTTAGAATGGCAGAAAATGATGAAAAAAGTGCAGATTATAGAAAAATGTAAAAAGGTAATTTATATTTGGCGAGATTTCGATTAAAAACTATTTTTGGGATTAATAAATTATAGATTCAGGCGGTTTGCATACACCCATAGAAATACATACACAAATACATCAACAGAGACAAAAAAAAAAAAAAAAGAAGAAGTCCTTTTTGAACTTCAAAGCATGGCCGCAGAATCTGAACTTCACGAATGCGGCTGCTTGGAAGTTTCTGATTATTCCGTGAAACGTAGCAAGTATGCAAATTCTAATACTGTAGCAAATATTTTGTAATTTATTTTCAATATAATTGGAAGTTTTAAAGTGCCAATTAATTTATTTAATTGTAATACTGATTCATGGGTAGCAATGTCGTGCATGGAATGAGAGCTTCTTCTTTTTTGTCAGTCAACTCTCCAGGAATAATGCCCCGTGCAGATTTTAATCAGATTAAAATTTTAAGTCAAATAAACAATTTGTAAGAATTTTTTAACCGATGGCGCGGGTTTATGTGTGAATTATTATATATTAAATGAAGGAAAGAAATCACTTCTCAACTATCAAATATGCAACAAAGCAGTCCGAGACATTCAGTTTCAAAATTCAAAGTTAGGTCTCTATTTTTAATTTTAAATAAAAAATCTATCAAAATAAATTAATCTATCTACAATAACTTTACCAAACAATCACCCTTATCCCAATCATCGATGACTTCTTTGATGGTGAACTGAACTCCGTCAATGAATCATCTTCTTCATTCACGACTCAATAGATATAATTTAAAATTGAAAAACAACTCCTTATGTAATTTACAGAATATTTACTTGAACAAATAACTTCAATTCTCACCATCGAAATCTGATTAATTGAATCTGTAACCAATTCGAACAATCGAGGTCGGAGAAATCAATGGCATGTAACCAGATCTCTTGCATATATAACATGTGACCTAAATCAATGGTATGTGACCAAATCTCTTGAATTCGTGACTTGTGATCTATGCACTCCTCGATCAATGGTATATGATCAAGTCTTTTGAATCTGTGACTTGTGCCTCACTTTGACATGTGCCCTTTTGCATGTGACGGTGACTTGATCAAATGGCAGGTGAACAAATCTCTTAGACCGATGACCTGATCCAATGGCCTGTAATCAAATTTCTTGAATCTGTGACCTATGCATTTTGATAAGTGATCTGTGCACTTTGATAGATCACATATTCAAAAGACTTGGTCACAAATACTCAATCAATTGTGACCTACGCACCGCCACCATCACCATCCATGGACATTGATCCACCACCAACATTCCACCATAACCACCATTATAACACTTCACCATACCCACCACCATCGCACTACCACCATCACCAATAACACTTCACCATACCCACCACCATCGCACTACCACCATCACCAATAACAACTAACAACCATGTAGATCACCAACGTCAAAACATCACAAAAACCACTTCCAACCACCACTTAGAGCCCTTTGTTGAAATTTACTAGCTTCACTATCAAATCTTGTAAGAATAACAACCCTTAAAGCTCCAAATTATCAATCCCTTTACAACACAAAAATCTATACCCTATTTCACAGCAGCCCCCAAATCATGAAACAATCCAACACTTATTTGGGTTAAATAAAGAATAAACAACCTTCCGAACATTATTTACAGAATTAATTTCCTAAAAAATCATACTCAAATTCCTCTTCAGCTATCCACTTCTGATCCCAACATTATCGACGTGGGCTGTCTTCCTCAATGTTTTTAGATTATTCTCACTGGGAAATACCAATATTTTTCGATTGAACCTACTTTTATCACCACTCTTGGGCAGTGCGAAGGAGGCTTTGATGGCCAATACTACCATTTCCTTCGCCTTCAGTCGGCTCTTCTAGCGTCTCTAGCGGTGATCTGAACGCTGCTGTGCACGACCTTATTAGGTGGAGCTCCGATGACGACGGTGCAAGACTAGGAGAGTGAAAGATCAGAGAGAGGGAGAGTGAGAGATTAATTTTAATTTCGATTAATATCTGATTTATGTTCAAGTAAACTTAATACGTGATTTTAGAATTATCATCTTTGAATACATGATGTTGTGTAATTTTTACTTAAATTGGAGACTATCAAATTTGATTAAGCCCATTTAAAGTGATATAATAAGGTTTCGGTATTTTAGACTTTAATGCATCTAATTTAAATTATGAGCTTTTATGTGTAAAGATCAGGCCATTGTTCCTAATTATATGATGGGCCGAATTAGATTAATAGACAGTCGATATATAAATACGATTATGGCCCCCATATCACATGTATTGCTCATTTTATTCTGCCTTTTATCACTAGAGAGAAAAATGAGCTACATGTTAATTTGGAAGACATAACCACAAGATTCAATCATGGCAATTTGTTATGTTTGATTCAGGTATGCTTCCACTTTGGTTTATATGTTCTTGATGATCCAACGTGATAGATTTTGATATTTTAATGTCAATTAATTTCTCCTAAAAGTGGTGCCAGAGCCAATTTCATATTGAATAATTGAGAATTGAATATTTATTTGGTTCTTGTGATAATTTCAATGTTTTCAAATTTAACAATTTCAGATTTATATTTTGTTGAATTTGAAAACTTTTGCGACATGTTTTTGTCTTATTGTCTTCCATAACTCGGATTTAAAAAGTTAAGGGATTTCAGATTACAAATTTTTTTAAGCTAAAAGAATGGGGGGTTTCTGGCCACCAAGGGAGAATTTTTTTTTTTAGGGTTTTGGGTTCCAGATTTGGGTGAAATTGAGGCAGGGACCTCACATGAAAATTGATTAATTTGAGGCCCCTACTCGCAATTTCACATTAGGGTTAGGATTGCAATTTCAAAATTGTATTTGTTAAATTTCAGTCCCTAAAGTTTAAAGTTCATCCAAATTGGCCTTTAAAGTTCTGGGTTTAATATTTTACTCCCTAAAGTTTAAAAATTAATTAACCTAGGTCATTAAAGTTCTGAATTTGTTAATTTTGGCCCCCTAAATTTTTGAAATATTAACCCTTAGGCCCCTAAAGTTTAAACTAAATAAAATATGCAAAATGGTGGTTTTCTTTCTCAAATATCGATACTAAGGACTTTTTTAAGAAGTATAATATTTGAAAGCAAATTAATTGAAGCAAAATATTGTCAAAGCAACATCTCTTATAGAAATTAATTAACTTAGAATATTAAAATGTATTTGTGTATATGTTATTCATGTGAATATTGATCGGCCCAAAGGAAGGTCAATATTTAGCTGAATTGCATGTGCACCTGTGGTGATAAACATTTGACGATTCTTTGATTTAATGTGTGGACAATAAATCAATCCAAAGAAATCCTTATTGGTTGACATATTATTTTATCGTCAGTATTTGATCACTACACCAAGAGTACCACTTACATGTCAATATTTTTGTCCAAAAACTAGATATTGATGTTGTGCTAGGTATCTTGTGATAGGCCCTACCATTATTTGAGATTATTTTTATTTGTATATTGAGGATATTCATGTGAGTCATTCTAATTAATTGTTCTCTAATTCAGTTTCAGGTTTTGTTGATAATATCTTTGCTAGCATCAATTCAATTACAATGCCTAATGGCACTAACTTCAGGGCATGGCAAGAAAACGTGATGACTGTTCTCTAAGTCATGGACCTAGATCTTACTTCACGGGTCGATCAGGCTGCCGTACTTACTGAAAAGAGTACATCTAATGACAAGAGAGAGATAAAATTGTGAACGATTGAACCGCATAAACTTAATGGTCATGAAGCGTACTATTCCAGAAGTGGTCTGAGGTACTATGTTCAATAAGATGACCACGACTAAGGGTTTCTTTTGAGGATCTTGAGAAAAGGTTTGTCAAAAATGAAAATGCTGAAACAAGTACACTTTTGACAAAAATTGTCTCAATGAGGTATAAAGGGAAGGGGGAAACATATGGAATAAATTATGTAAATGTCTCATATTACTTCAAAATTAAAGGCACTTAAGTTGGATTTATCTGAAGACTTGTTAGTGCACTTAATTCTGATATCCTTTCCAGCACATTTCAGTCAATTCAATATGGGCTACAACAATCAAAGGACTCATGGTCCTTTAATGAACTCATCTCAAACTGTGTGTCATTTTTCGCGACTACGCCGAAATTGGTTGAAATTTGGCAGTTTGATCGAAAATAAAAATCGCGTCGGCGGCAATTTCGTCATTTTTCTCGACTGTGTCGG